GCCCAGGAGTTTGAGGTTGCTGTGAGCTAGGCTGACGCCACGGCACTCACTCTAGCCTGGGCAACAAAGCGAGATTCTGTCTCAAAGAAAAACAAACCTAGAAAAGTCTTAAATTATTCCTGCCTTAAGATATTTACATTTTTATCTTCTCCTCTGAATTTACAGTTGATTTTTCCTTTTAAGAGATGGGAGCTCACTATGTTGCCCAGGCTGGACTCCAACTCCTGGACTCAAGGGATCCTCCCAATAATCTGATTACAGGTGCATGCCACTGCACTCAGCTGGTCTAACATTTTATTATGAAAAATGTCAAACCTACTGAAAAGTTGAAAGATATTTATAGTGAATACACGTCGACCAGCACCTATAATACATTGTTTGAATTTTTTACATTTAACTAATTACTATATGTAGAGTTTATGGTGCCTTATAGGCAGGTTTTAGAAATGAATGAATTTAAGGTGAAGATCTATTAATAATTTTTTCTCAATGAATAAATCTGATGCTTTTACAAAATTATCTTAAGCAGCCACTTACTGATTTCATTAGTTTGCACAGATACCAAAGAGTCTAATAGAATTTGTACAGCAATGCATCATTTCATTGACTGGTAAGCTTTAGTGAAATAATGGGCAAATTAATCATTTGCAAGGAAACGTCAAACCCTGTGTCTAGAGTATCCTTCTTAGGCTTCTGAGAGTAAACTGGATTTTTGGAAACATTTCAAAGCCATATTCAGACCCAAGTCTGAAAAAATTAAATGATCTGGTTATTAAAAACCAAAACAGTTATAAAGTAATGAGAATGATTTTCATGGGTATTCCAAAAATACTTTTATGCACTGGCATCACTGAAAGCCTGCAGTATTCCTAGTGTCAGTCTGCCAGGAAAAATACATCTGCTCTCATCATTGTTTATAGCCATTTCGTTTCACTGGAAAAGACATGAAAGGAAACACGCCCAAGTATATGTAAGAATATACGGCTGGTCTGAAGGCAGTGAGGATCTCACTTGATTGTTCACAGTCAGTTACAGATTGAACTCCTTGTTCTACTTTCCCCCTTCTCACTACTGCACTCGACTAGTCTTAAAAAAAAAAAAAAAAGAATAAAATTGCCATCAGAAATCAGAAATAAGGCCAGGCACGGTGGCTCATGCCTATAATCCCAGCACTTTGGGAGGCCAAGGTGGGAGGACTGCTTGAGCCCAGGAGTTTGAGACCAGCCTGGGCAACATAGCGAGACCCTGTCTCTACAAAGCATTTTTTTAAAAACTAGCTGGGCATGGCAGCATACACCTGTAGTCCTAGCTACTCAAGAGGCTGAGGTGGAAAGATCGCTTGAACCCAAGAGTTGGAAGCTGCAGTGAACTATGATTGTGCCACTGCACTCCAGCCCGGGCAGCAGCAGAACAAGACCCTGTCTCTAAAAAAAACAGAAAAGAAACAGAAGGCTGTCTGGGGGATGGACACGCTTGAAGCTCTGACTCAGGTGGGGCAAGGGCAATACACATAACCTAAACATTTGTACCCCCGTAATATGCTGGGGAAAAAAAAAAAGAAGGGATAGTTACTAAATACATAGTAATGGAACGCTGATCATCTTTAGATGCTTAATTTTCATTAGTGTTTCCCAAATTTCAAGCATGTAGTCTTCTTTTACAGGGGGAAAAAAAATAACTCACAATACCTGAAGGTTAACAATATATTTTTATTTTTTAAATATTTGTACCAATTTAAAAATAGGTATATATTCTTTATGCTTATAGTTCTCATACAACAATAAAAGCTAGAACATTTATAAGTTAAATTAAAACAAGAAAACCAATAAAATGCAAATTGACCACCTTTAATATAACAAATTATGTTGTTTTGCTCAAATAAAAAGAAAAATGTATTGCTCCAAAAAATAAATCACAAGTATTTGGTTTAATAGCAAAAAGTTGTAGTTTCAGATCGCATTCTGTAAACTATTTCAGTGTTTTTACTTTAACAATGTTGAGAATGCTTGTTCACATAAATATCTTATTCAAATTGGTACAGATAAATTCAAGTCTTTCTTCTTACTAAGTAGTCAGAACAGAATATTAACCAGACCTGTCAAATGGCAGTCCTCGAATGCCAATTTTAAAAGGTGTAAATTTATAGACAGAGAAAATTAAAAATTGCCTTTATTAAAATTTGCATTAAGGACTATTGAATCCAATTAGTTCTATTTATTTATTTAATTTTTTTTTTTTTGAGACAGAGTCTGGTTCTGTTGCCCGGGATAGAGTGCCATGGCATCAGCCTCGCTCACAGCAACCTCAAAACTGCTGGGCTCAAGCGATCCTCCTGCCTCAGCCTCTTGAGTAGCTAGGACTACAGGCATGTGCCACCATGGCCGGCTAATTTTTTCTATATATTTTTAGTTGTCCGGCTAATTTCTTTCTATTTTTAGTAGAGACGGGGTCCTGTTCTTGCTCAGCCTGGTCTCAAACTCCTGACCTTGAGCAATCCTCCCGCTTTGACCTCCCTGAGTGCTAGGATTACAGGCGTGAGCCACTGCCCCCGGCCCCCAATTAGTTTTAGATTTGGAATAAAAATATTCTTTACTATTATTTGCTATTATACTTATTGCTAATGAACTGTTGCAAGTTACTCTGTATAGGAGCCTTACAACACAATGGTATTGACTATTGTGGTATAGATTTTTTCTAAAAGACCCTGTCATGTGAAAAACCAAATCTGGTATATTATGTGTACAATAGCAGCACACCATCATTTTTCTCATCATCTTCATATAATCTGTGTTCTGCAGCTTCAGTTTTCTTTTTTTTCAGATCAGATTTTAATTTTAAATACTTAACACTATTGTTGATGTGCATTTCACTTTCTTCATGTTTACTAAGAATATGTGATAAATGCTGCCAATCTTTGCACCCATTCTCATTTTTCAGTTGATTTTTTCCTTCCCCAAAGAGTTTGCAATATAGACAAAACACAGAATCTTTTGAAGTTGAATAAAGTAACCAGGATCTAGTGGTTTTTTCGCCATTTGGAAAAATTCGTGTATAGTAAGTTTCTGAAAACTTCCTCCCTGTATTGTCTTTTGGAAAGTTAAAATTTCTTACTTGAGGTGGATCATTTTCAACAAGAGTGTCCCGTTGTTTAATATTCAAAATTCGGGGCCATGTACCCGGATCTGTAGAAAGCACAACAGGTATAATGGACTCTTCTGATTTTTTCTCTTCCAGTTGCTCTTGAAATTTATCAGCTATGGTTGATGTGGAAGAAGGTGGTAAACTCACACTCTGTTTGATCAGTAATGTATCCGCGCTACATTCTGCTGAAATCTGTAGCTCTGAAGTCTTTCCTTTTTTTTCTGGTAGTCCCTCTAATTTTTCCAAAAGTGTACCTGACGATCCATATAATCGTCTTTCATTTTCTTCTCTAACAGCATTCCTTTTTCTATTTTCTGATGCTGATAATTCTTTTGATTTTGTTTCCATCATCTGGGGAGAAATAGGATAAATTACACTTTTATTTTAGGATTGTTAAAATTAAAAATTCAATGTATATAGAAATGCCCAATAAGTACATGAAAAGATGCTCATTAGCCATCAGAAAAATGCAAATCCACATGAGAATGATATACCACTTCACGCCCACGAGGATGGCTGTAATAAATAGATAATGACAACTGTTGGCAAAGATGTGGAGAGAGACTGGAACCTCCATAGTATGGTGGGAATGTAAAATGATGCAGCTACTTTGGAAGGCCATTTGGCAGTTCCTCTGCTTAAACACAGTTACCATATGATCCAGCAATTCTACTTCATGGTATATACCCAAGAGAAATTAAAATGTATGTCCACACAAAAACATATACACAAATGTTCATAGCAATGTTATTCATAATAACCACAAAGTAGAAACAACTTAAATGTCCATAACACTTTAATTGATAGATTAAAATGTGGTATTACCCATGCAATGAAATACTTTGTGGCAATAAAAGCAAATGAAGTACCAATGTATGCTACAACATGAATGAACATTGAAAACAGTATGATACATGAAAAAAGCCCCTTGCAAAGTACTATATGTTATATAGTCCATTTAAGTGAAATATCCGGAATAGGCAAATTTATAGAAACAGAAGATAAACAATTACCTAGAACTTTAAAGGTGTGGAGGGAGAAGTGGGGACTGTTACTGGGTTTGGAGTTTCTTTCTGTGGTGATGAAAATGCTCTAAAATTGACTGTGGTGAATTCAGTCAATTTTATAGGGCACATTCATAAACAAAGTTGCTGTAAAAGTCACTGAAATTTAATAGCCATTACAGGTGTGTGCCACCACACCCGGCTAATTTTAAAAATTTCTTGTAGAGACGGGGATCTAGCTATCACCCAGGCTGGTCTTGAACTCCTGACCTCAAGCGATTGATCCTCCTGCATTGGCCTCCCAAAGTGCTAGGATTATAGGCGTGAGAGCCACCAAACTTGGCCAATAACAATTCATTTTAATGGTGAAATTTCCATAAATATTCCAATACATGTGTGTACACACACACAGGTATATACACATACACACATATGTAATAGGGAGAGAGATTGCTAATTCAGTTATACTTAATACTATGTACGTCATTCATCATTAATGGTAAATTATTATTACTTTTAAAATATAATAGAAGTACTTATAGATTTTTAATTTTTTTAAGACTAATGGGAAAGAACAAGGAGTTCAATCTGTAACTGACTGTGAAAAACTGAGATAACTCACTACCTCTGGACCAGCCAGTACTTACAGATTTAAAATACACTAATTGAAAGAAGATTTTTAAAATCTGATTTTAACAATCAGCTTAAAGAATAGCTCCTTGCTCAGAAGCACAGACTATTTTTAGATGTTGCTAGATTAACAATGTAAATTCAAAGTAGAATGCACGTAAATTAACATTGTTAGAGTTGGCACATCTGTCACAAATTTAATTTTTGTTTTTGAACATTCTACTGCCACCTACTGAAATCTGTTGTAATAAAAAGACATATTACCTATTTTTGTGTCAATAAAATTATAATAAAAATGCAAAAAAGATTCAACATAACAAAGATGTATAAAATGTGAATGGCATTCTACTGGGTATACACAAGTTGAACACCATATACAATGGAGCTGAAGAAAAAGAGCCTGGTTCTGTTTTAATTCTGAGAGCAATATGGCAGCACTGAAGTAAAAAAAAAAGGCAAAGGAGTTGACATTATTAAATTCGTACCTTCGAAAGATTACTTTTGATTGTATTATCAATTTCCAATCTTATATAAGGAAGGAAGATCAGAGGTACAAAGATAAGGTAGAAATCTGTGGTAGTAATTCTGGAAAAGATAATGGTAGCTACGTCTAAAATTCTATCAGTAGAGATAGCATAGAGTTGAGAGATCCTTAGGAAGTAGAATCTGGATTAGCCAGTAATTGAGAGTCGCTCTGGAGGCTAAGGAAGAAGGAAGAGTAAAGAACGATTCAAGGCCGGGCACAGTGGTGCACACCTGTAATCCTAGCACTCTGGGAGGCTGAGGCGGATTGATCGCTTGAGGCCAGGGGGTCAAGACCAGCCTGAGCAAGAGAGAGACCCTGTCTCTACAAAACAGAAAAATAAGGCAAGTGTGGTGGCGTTCGCCTGTAGTCTCAGCTACTTGGGAGGCCAAGGCAGGAGCATGGCTTGATCCTAGGAGTTTTAAATTGCATTGAGCTATGATGACATCACTGCACTCTAGCCCAGATGAAAGAACAAGACCCTGTCTCAAAAAAAATTCAGTCTCTGCATGGGCATCTGATTGGATGGTGAGTCATTTACCAATATGGGAAACAAGGAAAAAAAGTAGGTTTTGGAAATTCAGTTTTAGACACAATGAGTTTGAGGTATAGTCATGTGCCACATAACAAAATTTCAGTCAATGATGGACCGCATATGTAACAGTAGTCCTGTAGGATTATAATGGAGCTGAAAAATTCCTGCCACCTAATGCAACCAAGTGTTTGTGATGATGCTGGTGTAACTTACTGTACGAACAGCTGTATAAAATATAGCACTTACAATTTGTGCAGTGCATAATACTTGATAATGATAATAAACAACTATGTTAATGGTTCATATATTTATTATACTTTTTTTTTTTTTTTTTTGAGACAGGGTCTTGCTCTGCCACCCTGGCTGGAATACAGTGGTGTCCTCATAGGTCACTGCAGCCTCAAACTCCTGGGTTCAAATGATCTTCCTGCTTTAGCCTCCCAAGTAGCTGGAACTACAGGCTCACCCCACAACACTCAGATAATTTTTCTATTTTTTGTAGAGACGGGGTCTTGCTCTTGCTCAGGCTGGTCTCACACTCCTGGCCTCAAGCAATCCTCCCCCCTCAGCCTCCCAAAGTGCCAGGATTACAGGTGAAAGTCACTGTGCCCAGCCCAAAACGCTTTTCTCCTTTCTTTTTTTTTTTTTTTACGAAACAGGGTCTCACTATGTTGCCCAGGCTGGAGTGTAGTGGCTATTCACAGGTGTGATCATAGGGTACTACAGCCTTGAACACCTAGGCTCAAGTTATCCTCCTGCATCAGCCTCCCAAGTAGCTAGGACTACAGGCATAGACTAACACACCTGGAATTTATAATTTTTTTAGCTGATTCTTTTTGTGCTTACTTCCAAATCTCATAATGTTTGTAATCACTATTTGCTGATTTTTTTCTTCCCAGCTTTAAGTGTCAATAGACTTCTTAATGAGAAAGAGGAAACTTAGCCTTCCCTCTCATCATGCTCATCATCTACACTCAATGGCAGACCACCTACTTATCCTTCGGTTACAGGATTTCTTGGGCAGGATGGTGGTTGTGAGGGACTGTCCTGTGCACTGCAGGATGTTTAGCAGCACTTCTGGCCTCTATCAGCTAGATTCCAGCAGCACCCTCCAGGTGTGATAGTCAAAAATGTTTCCAGACATTGGCAAATATCCCCAGGTGGACAAAATTACCCCTGGTTGGGAATCACTGGCTTAGATCAGATTCAGTCTTTACATTTTATGACTGTGTATGTTATTCAGCAATAAGCCACTAAGTACAAGATTTCACATTTTTTCTTATGGTGTTCATATATCATTGAGGCTTTCCCTATTGGCCTTCTCAGAAGGCCTGCCACCAATCAAAACACTTATGTGCTAGTGGTGGTGGTGGGGGGGGGGTTGGGAAGCACATTTATAAAACATGCAACTTTATTATACAAAAATATCATGGCTGTATTTGCCAAATGTTTATGAGTTACTCTGTATTACTGAAATACACATGGTAGAATGGACACTTTCTTCTATGGGATCAGAGTAGCGAGCAATAGTTATTAAAAAAAGTCTGATTTATGGCTGCCGCCTATTTTGACTATGCATATTTCGTTTCTATGCCCTCTTCTGGTGTCCACTTATGAGTTAAAAACTTATAATCTAGGTGCAAGCCTAATGTTTTTCAGAGGAGAGCATTACGGCATTTGTCTAAAGTTTATGAGCTCACTGCCTTTAACAAAAACTCAGATACAGGTAAATCATCAGGTAAAAAAATAAAAAAGACTTGGAAAATATTAAGACTTAACATAGTCTTATATTACCAAATTAGAAGCTCATTCGGCTACTTTTGCCGTGTGTTTTCTTTGAAAAGGTAACTTAAAATATTAGGTCTTTCTGTATTTTAAAATTTTTCATTATGATTTTCTATAAGCCGAAGCTTTGCTAAATATTAGGTGCAGTATATATAAAGAAAACAAATTTAGCCTAAGTAAGCCTTTCTTACAAAAATAACATATAAGTCAACTATGGGTATCTACTGTTTCTTCTGTTCAATAAAAGCCTGGCACTTTGAGGTTACTTTTCCCTAAAGATAACCACTTAAATTCTTACCCAGTGAGGCGGGGGTTAAGAATATGCCTGGTTTAACATTTTTGATCCATCTCAAATTAATTTTTGTACATGGGAGGAAATGGGATCAAGGCTCATTTATTTTCATAAAAACAAAAAATTGTTCCAGCACCATTTGTTTAAAAACCTTGGTTTTCCTATCAAAATGATTTGGTACTTTCTTCTAAAATCCACTATCTATGTGGTTCTATTTCTGAACCATCTTCTTTCCTACTGATCTATTTGTTTATATTTCAACACCATATTGCTTTGATTATTGTAGTTTTTTAATGGCTTAAAATCAGGTAGTTGACAATTCCTTAACCCACACCATAAAATAATTAATTCAAGATGAATGACAGACCTAAAAATAAAAGCTAAAACTAAAAAGTCTCTACAGAAAATGCAGGAAAATATACTACTTTGGTAGGCAGATTCCTTAAATAGGACACAAAAAGTACCAAAGAAAAGAAGCAAATAAATTGGACTTCATCAAAATTAAAACCTTGTGCCTTTCAAAAACATTAAGAAAACAAATCAAGAAAATGAAAAGACAAATCAGTTGAGAACATCTTCTGAGTACATTTATTTTACAAAGATGTTTATCCAGAATATATAAAGAATTCCTACAACCTAATAATAAAAAGATAACACAATTAAAAAAATAGGCTGAAGACACAAATAGACAAAAGAAGATACGAGTCATAAAAAATATTAGGTCATTAAATATGCAATGTCTGATTTGGAATCAAAAGTGTAGTTTATTATATATCAAACAAGAAGCAGTACAATTAATGAAATTACATGCCCAAACTATTGACACAGTTTTGCCCTTTTTTTTTTTTTTGGAGGCAAGAGTCTTGCTCTATTCCTTGGGCTAGAGTGCCGTGGTGGTCAGCCCAGCTTGCAGCAACCTCAAACACCTGGGCTCAAGCTATTCTCTTGCCTCAGCTTCCCGAGTGGCTCGGACTACAGGCACTGGCCACCATGCCCAGCTAATTTTTCTATTTTTAGTAGAGACAGGGTCTCCCTCTTGCTCAGGCTGGTCTCAAACTCCTGAACTCAAGTGATCCTCCTGCCTTGGCCTCCCAGAGTGCTAGGATTACAAGCGTGAACCACCGTGCCTGGCCACAGTTTTGCTGTTGTAACGGTAGTTTGTTTATGCCAGCAGCAAAAAAGCCTGGAGAGCAAGTGGTAACGAAATCACAAAAGGCGTTTTCCACAGCTTGTTGAGAATTGAATATTTTTCCTTGCAAGAAGTGGTCCAAAGTCTGGAAGAAGTGGTAGTCAGCTGGTGCAAGGTCTGGCAAATACGGTAGAAGACTGAGAGTTTCCAAGCCCAGCTTCTGTAGTTTGAGCAGTGTTTGTGCAGCATGTGGTCGAGTGTTGTCTTGCAAGAGGACTGGCCTGTCTCTGTTGACCAATCTCAGCTGCTTAATCACAAGTATCCTCATCATTTTGTCAAATTGGTTGCAGCAGACATCCGCTGTAACGGATTGACCAGGTTTCATGAAGCTGTAGTGGATAATACTAGCTCTGGACCACCAGACAGAGACACCATTAGCTTTTTCTGATGAATATTCGGTTTTGGACTGTGTTCAGCACTTCATCTTTATCCATCCATGTGCTGAACCCTTGCAATTGTCAAAAAGAATCCATTTTTCATCACACATAACAATACAGTGTAGAAATGGTTCACCTTTGTGTAGTGACAGCAGAGAAAGGCAAGCTTTCAGATGATTTCTCTTCTGACGCTCATTTAATTCACGTGGAACCCATCTATCCAGCTTCTTTACCTTGCCGATTTGTTTCAAACGGTCCAATATTGTTGGAATAGTAACCTCAAACCTTGCTGCTAATTCATGTGTAGGTTGGGATGGATTTGCTTCTACTACAGCTTTCAGCTCATCATTATCCACCTTGGTCTCAGGTCGTCCGCGTGGCTCATTTTCAAGACTAAAGTCACCAAAAGGGAACCTCTCAAACCATGGACGTACCGTGCGTTCATTTGCCACATCCTTCCCAAATACTTCATTGATATTTTGAGCTGTCTGCGCCACATTGGTTCCACAATGGAACTCATATTCAAAAATACCACGAATTTTTGACTTATCCATGGTTTCACAAAAATTGCTCTAAAAAGAAATCCGAAAGATAGTCACAAGCCAAACCAGGTGTTTGAAAGACTGAGGATATACCTTCGTGATAACAAAACTAGAAGTGTCAAAGTGAAATGTCAGAGATTTCAACTGTCAAACTTAGTACTTAAGGAAATCAAGTATTTCATACTTAATAAATGAGGTTCTAAAATAAATCTGGCTAATGTAAGCTAACAGGATCAATCTATTGATACCTGATCATTTAAAGCTCATTAAAAAGAGTTACCTGTTTATATCTGTTAACACAACTTTGGCAGCAAAATCTCTTCTCCTGGCTTCCAATCATCAGGATGTTGTTTCCAGTACTTTTATTGGGCAAGTACTCTCCACACTGTTCACAGCAGTTCATTATTAGACCATTGGCCAATCTGTACTTATTAAAGCAATGGTTACTGCACAGTTTATGTGTTACATTATTTACACTGACTTCATGGCGAATCTAAAAGAAAAACCAGAATTTATTAACTAAAATAAGTGAACCACATTAGTACAGTAGGCAAAGAGATAACTAGTTTCTGCAACATAAATAAAGAACCCCTAATATCTTAATGAGAGATATATTCAGGGAAAAGGAAAAAAAAGCATGTTTCATTATTCTTTCATTTTTTTCTTTAGAAAATCATTCTTTGAATTTAGAAAAGGAAAACTAAGATGCATAGAACAAAAAGCAATACAATCAGTAATAACTTCCCTTAAAGATATTTAAGAATGACAGAAAATGAACTGGTTTAGAAGACTGGTTTTTCTTTTGTTTTTTTTTTTTGATAAGGTCTTGCTATGTCGCCCTGGATGTTCTCAAACTCCTGTGCGCAAGTGATTTTGATATGACCTGCTTAAAGGAAATGGATCAGGCTGGGTGCTCACGCCTATAATCCTAGCATTCTGGGAGGCCGAGGCAGGAGGATTACTTGAACTAAGGAATTTGAGACCAGCCTGAGCAACAGCAAGACCCTGTCTCTACTAAAAATAGAAAAATTAGCTGGGTATCATGGCACACGCCTGTAGTCCCAGCTATTTGGGAGGCTGAGGCAGGAGGATTGCTTGAGTCCAGAAGTTTGAGGTTGCAGTGAGCTACGATGACGCCACTGTACTCCAGGGTGACAGACAGTGACTCGGTCTCAAAAAAAAAAAAAAAAAAAGATTAGCAGTATTATAGAGTACACTGCCCTAGAATATTTGTGGGAGGGACTAAGGGAATCAACATTATCTGTATTGAGATGGTGCCTGTGTATCTATAACTCGGGTGTTCTTCCTGTGGTAAATGAGATAAAACTGTGCCCCTGATCTGTATGGCTCCAGGGTAACCAACACCAAATCTAGTTACCAAGGACTTTGTAAAATGAGGACTGCCTGTACAAATGTTTCTTCCTCTTCTAGCCACTGGTAAGATTGCAATACCACTTAATTAATGTTTAGCAAACAGGGAACACACTCTGCTTGTTCCACATTTTCTCATACCAGGATCTGTTGTTTCCTTCAATGTCCTGAAACTACATTTTTATTTAGCATTGCTAATAAGAACAAAATCCATCATAAACAATTGCTTTGTTTATAAGCACAACCAATTCCACAGAAACAGATGTGTATTTTTCCATACTATGCAAATGGGATATTTATTTGTAAGAAAGTTCTAACATATCCTTTTCTTCCTTTTAACTTCATGGTGTACATCTAAGACATGTACTTATGTAGATGACAGAGCATATAATAGCACTTAAAAGTTAAAACTAGGCTGGGCGCAGTGGCTCACGCCTGTAATCCTAGCACTCTGGGAAGCCGAGGCAGGCGGATTGTTTGAGCTCAGGAGTTCGAGACCAGCCTGAGCAAGAGCGAGACACCGCCTCTACTAAAATTAGAAAGAAATTAATCGGACAACTAAAAATACATATAGAAAAAATTAGCCGGGCATGGTAGCGCATGCCTGTAGTCCCAGCTACTCAGGAGGTGGAGGCAGAAGGATCACTTGAGCCCAGGAGTTTGAGATTGCTGTGAACTAGGCTGACGCCACGGCACTCACTCTAGCCCGGGCAAAAGAGTGAGACTCTGTCTCAAAAAAAAAAAAAAGTTAAAACTATCCCTGTTAGTCGAAATAACAACCTAGGTATAAAAATCCAGACCTCTGTTAATTTACTACAAATTGTACATCTTGATTTATTAAAAACTCCTTTTTTAAGATACTGGTTGTCTTCACAGGGAGACAGACAAGATGTACTATAAAATTCTCGGAAGGATTTGCTTGATTCCACCAGAGGAACAACAGTAGCCTTCTTTGTAGCTGCATTTCTGAAACACAAGGGAGAGACACAAAATTTAAGAACACTGCATTTTAATAAAAGTCAAATTTATGAACAATAATTTGACACTTTTCATTTTCTTATGATTTAATCCTATGAATCAATAATAATTTTTGGATGTAGCAAAATCCACTTTTGGCTTCATTGCTAAGAGTTCTTAAATAATATGGAAAGAAAGAGTCAGAGGTAAAAGTCTTTTGTATTAATAGTACAAGAACCTTGCTACAAGTTCTTAAGATTTTTAGAATCATTAAAAAATGCTGGTAGAACTAATGTGTAAGACGGGGAAATGGGAGGCAAAGGCAGTGGCAGGGAGGGGGCAGTTTACTCCCATACCTATGTTCTATTTTCCTGCCAAGAGTAAATACAGCACAAGTGAGTCCACAGCTCTGACATACCACAGAACTCAAGCTCAATAAACTTGAAGACACTCCTGTAACAATTCTACCCATGATCTATTTAGATCTGCAATTACAGACAAAATACTTATTTATACCACTAGTATTCAACCATGTGGAAAAATGTTGAAAGGTATTGCTTACTTTTTACATGTTACACTTCGTGTCTTTCGAGTACGTTTATGAGAGAAGGAAGAAAGGCAGGTGGTAGAACAAAAGAGGTGAGCTGATCCTTTTCTTTGATAAGCTGTCTGTCCCTTCTGTAAAGGTTTTCTGCAATATGCACAAGTGATCTTAGCTGGTTTAGTAAGTTGCTGTTGGGCTGAAGGCTGGAAAATCTGTTTAGGAAGCGAGGCCACTGGTGACAAAGAATGCACCCCTGGCTGCTTCTGATTACGGGGAAATGAAGCTGACTGGGAGATCCAAGAATCTTAAAAATGAAACACACAAGAAAAAAATCATGGAATAAATCAAAATTTACATCAGAAGAATATTTTAAATTTTTATTTAAGAGTTTAAGTGAATAGTGAGGCAGCTGTATAAGCACGTGGTTAAGGCCAGATAGCCTCGATGAATAATCCCAGGGGAAATATCCATTTTGTATTCCAAGTGAATGATACTCCATTGTGCCAACAACAATAAAAAAATAAATGGTCGCCCCTGGAGCTGTGCAATGTGGTAGCCATCAGCTCTTAAGTCAGACTCCACAGGTTCAAAGTGTAACTCCTAAGCTTACTAGACTATACAAATATCTTAAGCTCTGTCTTGGTTTTCTCAGCTATAAACTGATTTACAATACCTAACTCACCAAGTGCTATGAAGAATAGATGAGACAATACATATTGTAAAGCACTGCCTGGCACACAAAAAATATTAGCCACTTTTTCTTTCCTAAGCAGGAAGTATTAATACATTTATAAAATAAAGCAAAGAATATATATAATAAATATATAGATAACCATAGTAAAAGCTTGACTATCCAGAACCCTTGAGGAATGTGGTAGTATGGTAGTTTATCAACATTATGAAAAATTTTAAGCATACAGAGATGCTGAAAGAATTTTACACTTAACATCCATATACCCAACCAACTAGATTCAACACTATTTTACTGTTTTTGCCTTATCACGTATTTCCATCTGTTCATTCCTCTAAACAATCAATACATCTTTTTTAAACATATTTTAGGTAAATTGTAGACATTAGTATACTTCCCTTCAAAATACTTTAGACGTAACACTTTAACACAAATCTTTCTACAATTATTTCCCAGCCTTCCAAAGTATTATTTCACAGGCATCAATATAGACGGTGGATTACTCAAGAAAGCCTCAGCTTTCCTTACATTACACAGGGACTGCTACATCATATAGCACTGTTAGCTTCAAAATGGTAAATATTTATACCCATTTTAGAGAAACCAGAGTACACAAAATGGTACAGTATTACTTATAGGTGAGGTGTTTCTCAAATTTTAACATGCAAATGAAGTCACTTGGGAATCTTGTTTAAATGGAGATCTAAATCAGTACGTTGAGGCTGGGCGCGGTGGCTCATGCCTGTAATCCTAGCACTCTGGGAGGCCGAAGTGGGAGGATTCCTTGAGCTCAGGAGTTCAAGACCAGCCTGAGCAAGAGTGAGATCCCATCTCTACTAAAAATAGAAAAATTAGCCAGGTGTGGTGGTACATGCCTGTAGTCCCAGCTACTTGGGAGGCTTAGGCAGGAGGACTGCTTGAGCCCAGCAGTTTGAGGTTGCTGTGAGCTAGGCTGATGCCACGGCACTCTAGCCCAGGTGACAGAGCGAGACTCTGTCTCAACAACAACAAAATCAGGTCAAGGAGGGGCCTGATATTCTGCACTTCTAACCAACTCTCAGATGATGGTGAACCTTTGAGAAACAAGGCTGTAGAGTATAGAATTATTTTGTGATCTCTGTTCAAAAATAGCTTTTGTCATTAGCAAAAGGCCTATGCCTGTCACTGTAGCAAAGACTTCTCACAATACTACCTATCTAACAACACTATCTATACTCATATCCAAATTACCACCTACTGCTTCAAACCTCCTTTGTCCTATATTCAAATTATTTTATTTTCAGGCAAAAACAGTACAAAGCAAGTAACAAAAGGAATTCTTTCATTTCTCAGGATGGCAAATCAAGTATATCTAAATAAACTTATTAAATAAATTTTACGTTTAGGTTAACAATTTAACCTTTTAACTTCTCTTTGGGTTAATGTTTTTTCTCCATTTTATTATAGAAAATTATTCATCATACCTCTTTCTGTTCCATTTCTGTCTTGCTCTTTCTGGGTCATTAATTACATGTTCTTTTCATCAAGGGTCATAGGTCTCTTACATTCTTTTCTGTGTTTCCCACCCTTTTGGCTATGATTCAGTCTGGATACTCTTTTCTGATTTACCTTCTAGTTCATACTCATACTCTCTTCAGCTGTGTCCCATTTACAGTTAAAATGTAGTTTCTTAAAATCTGTGCCCAATAATCCTATTATCCTGAATCCTTGTGGGTGCACCTTTTTTTTTTAATTAAAAACATTTTTCTTTAGAGATGGGGTCTTGCTCTGCGGCTTAGGCGGGAGTGCAGCGGTGTGATCATAGCTCAAGTGATCCTCCCAAGTAGCTGGGATTATACGGTGATGGGCTAACTTCTATTGTCTGCTTTCTTACTTTTGATTTTCCTTTTTTTAAAAATTTCAAAATATTAAGCGGGTAAAGATGTTTTTGTTACATGAATATACATTGTATAATGCTGAAGTCAGGGCTTTCAGGGTGCCTGTCACCATGTCGGTGTTCACTGTACCCGATTTTTTCTTTTGATTTTCTATCATATGGTGTCCTGCCTCCTCATATCTCAGGATACTTTTTATTATTTTTATATGAAAGTGTAAGAAAACTCTAAGGCTCTAGATAATGTTAGCATTTAATTCCAAAGCTTGTCGTTAGCAAAAGGTTTTTTTTTTTTAAATCAGTACTCTTCTTATAGGGCCCCTGTGAGTCTACTGAAAGGCCCACTTAGCTTCTCAGCCTTTCTCTGCAGCCTTTTCTGGAACTGAACACATACCCATAAGGGAAAGCAGCCACAGTACTAGGATTACTTCTCTGAGCCTTCTTCTCTCAGATCTTGGAACCCCAATTTTACCACTCTATGATGGATGCCTTTAAACTGATATTTTATATATTTTTGCCATTTTCCTCTAATTATTCTCAGCAGGAGGGATAGGAATTACCTAGTTATCAGAGGTGCAACTCACTAGAATCAGTATCGTGGCCAGAAATATTTATAATGCAACAAAAATACAACATAGATATATGAGCAATTTCTAAGTATTTTCCGTCATGAGTTTTTTTTACTGTTTATATCAAGGTATGTAGTAACTGGAGAACTTTCACTGGAACACAGTCTAAAGGTAAATGAAAGAATTAAATGGCTCAGGGGTCCATCCTAATGAATGTAACCCTATTTTCATAAAATGGAAAGCACAGTTCTATGTGTACTTTATGAAGAGCCATAATTTTACAAGATGAAATTGAACCTATAAGCCCTAGATTTAAATACAACTCAACTCCAGAAATCCTTGTCTTTTGTGGGGCGGGTACTAAAAAACCTTCAATTTATTTAAGTGGGAAGTATACAGCAACCAAAGACATTCTGGAGGAGCTCTGACTTCAAATAATAACATCATCATCATCATCATAATAATAATATAATCACTGCCATTTTATTCTCACAGTTTCCTGGTAAAAAATGATTCATTTTACTAATGCTGACAGCAAGTAAAAACAAAATCTAGAGTCAACACCAAAAATAGATTGCTTTTACTATTTTACATTAAACAGTGAAAAACAACAATGACAACAAAAAGACCATCCTTTTGACAAGTGACCTAACCTTTAAGAAAACTTCATATTCACTTGTTTTTCACTATCACCTGAAAACTTGGTGAACATTCTCTTTAGAATTCTAGATTAAATCTTATAATCTAAAGGATATAGTTCTGTAACTTTTGTCCCCAAAAATAAACCTTTAGAGGACCCAGGAACATTGTGAATTTATCCATACTTCATAGACAATACAAATTCATTGCCCTATATCATAAAATAGTTTAAATGTAGTTATAAAGACCTTCTGCTCCATTTATATGAATGAGTGTCAAATAGGTTATTTAATGCATTTAGTCTTTGTTAACATTTTAAAATTATTAATACTTCATGTGATGAGAAAAATCAGAAATACAAAATATAGTTTTGGATTAATAAGATAAAAGGATGACAATAATAAAAATAAATCCAAGAGTAATCAAGACTGCTTTCAAACGACCTTGGCAATTGTCAATTATGCCCACAATTTGAGTGGAATGATAGTATTGTATCTAACTACAGTATGCTTTTTTATAGTTAAGTATTAGTCTATATTATGCTTTTATATTGAAAAACATCTATTCACCACATCCATCATTAAATATACATTAATTTACTCCAGAAGGTGAAAATTGGTCTTGAAGACTAAAACATAAAAGAAATAAATGGCAATGCTTCTAGCTGAAACTCCACTAAAGAGTTTCTATTTATATATGATAAAATTCACGCTTATATAAATGAGCATGAATAATATCTAAAACAAGCAACAAATAAATATCTGAAATTTAGGCAATAATTACAAAGGTATTACATAAAAGAAATAAACAGACCCTAAAGGATGATTTTCAATGACATTATTTCAAAGTCTTCAATACCTTTCTCATTGCCTTTAAGTTTAACGTATCCTTCAATATAGAGATCACAAGTTTTTTATGTTATTTCTCAGGTTTAAATATCAATAAAGATGTACATAGTAATAAATGGATGACAGACATGAATTTAAGCAAATTCATTAAAAAGTTGAAAATATATTTTTAAAAGGTTAATAATGGCCGGGCACAGTGGCTCATGCCTGTAATCCTAGCACTCTGGGAGGCCGAGGCAGGTGGATCGCTCAAGGTCAGGAGTTCGAGACCAGCCTGAGCAAGAGTGAGACCCTGTCTCTACTAAAAATAGAAAGAAATTATTTGGACAACTAAAAATCTATATAGAAAAAATTAGCCAGGCATGGTGGCGCATGTCTGTAGTCCCAGCTACTCGGGAGGCTGAGGCAGTAGGATTGCTTGAGCCCAGGAGTTTGAGGTTGCTATGAGCTAGGCTGACGCCACAGCACTCTAGCCCGGGCAACACAGTGAGACTCTGTCTCAAAAAAAAAAAAAAAAAAAAAAAAAGGTTAATAATATGCAAATTAAGATGATACCACCTTTTAATTTAGCAAACTTTAGTTAATATTCCTACACCTGAGGAGTGCTTATGATATGGAAGAAAACCCCTCTTTTTTTCTTTTCTACAAACAGCATTGTTTTCTTACAAGATAAGAGTTGCAAGAAAAGTAATACAACTTTCTGGTGGGAGGAATTTTGCATTAACCATCAAATGCTTAAAAATTATGTTGACATTCTGACAGCAAATCTACCTCTAGAAACTTTTTGAGAAAATAAGTGTGTCAAACTCAGATGTTCACGAGAAACTTTGTTTATAATTTCAAAGAGTAGAAATAACCCCAAATAATAAATTGTTATTCATAAACTTAAAAAGATAACTATATTTGATATCAGCTAATAACAGTTGATGAAATGTCCAATGATTCCCTGAGGCCGAGAATAAGACAAGGTTTTATATTCTTACCACTTCCATTCTGCATTGTATTAGAAAAAGGGAATTGTGCAAGGCCAAACTCTTTCCATAATACCAAGATTTATTTGCTTTTTTCACTATGTTGGTATTTATACTAACAGTATAAAAGCAACGCTGCTGGCAGTGGAACCAAACTGTACTACTAGCCAATAGTTTCCACTGTCATGCACTTACAAAAAAGAAAAGTATCACTTTCACTTATGTATGTTATTCCAACACCAACTGGTATACCTGCAATATAAGTGTATTGCACAAATTTAAAGACATGGTACCCAAAAAGACTGTCCTCACTTTAGATACCACCTGCACTTCTGATTGCCTACAAATCTGGGAGGTTCCCAAGGTTCAATAATTTGCTAAAGTAACTCAGAGAACTCAGGAAAGCTCTATACTTATGATTATAGTTTTATTATAAAAAATACAAACCATGAACAGCCAAATGAAGAGACACACAGGGCAAGGCCTGGAAGGGTCCCAAATGCAGAGCTTTTGGGTCAGCTTTCTGTGGTATCAGTAGCAACACTCTCCTGGCATACTGATGTTTTCACCAACTAAGAGGCTACAATGAGCATCAATATCTAGAGTAGTTTTATTGGGGTTTCACTGAGTAGGCATGACTGATCAAATCATTGGCTAAATGACTGAACTCAGTGTCCAGGCTCCCTCTCCGAGTCTGGGCTAGTTCAAAGACTCAACTGTCTAATCACATGGCTGGTCTTTCTGGTGATCACCCCCCATCCTGAGTCATCTCATCTTTTACCATAAATTTAGGTATGAGCCAAGGGGCTCATGAACATAGCACGGATACTTCTAATACTTGGGAAATTTCAAGGATGAATGGATAGATGGATAAATAGATAAACAAATAAAACCACAGAGCAAAAGACTGAAAACAAACCAAAATCTTAACAGTGATTGGGGTAAGGTGACATATTATTTTCTTACTTCTAACTATGATTTTTTCCCAAATATTCTGTAATAATCACACAGTATTCTCCTAACCAGAGGAAAAGACTTAAAAAATAAAGAAAAAAGCACTAGCATCCCATTAAAGCAACAACAGTGATTAGGTTCTTAGGTTTCAGTTACATTTTAGTACTTTCCTAAAATTCAACAGGCTAAAGTACTAAAATGGTAAAAAAAAAAAAAAAATCAAGCCCCTCTAACCCCACAGAAGTCATAAAAAAGCCATAAAAGGGAACTGTTATTTTTTAATAATTTCTGTTATATTTTATCAGAATAGGACTATCCACATAAAAATTTTAAAAATAACAATTCTTTGATTTAATGGCAAGAGAGTTTTCCAACTTTTAAAATTGAACAACTAATAAAATGCTGATTCAAAAACTAAAATCCTTTGTGTTATACAAGAGATAGCTCAGCAAAAAAAAAAAGAAAGAAAGAAAAAAAAAAAGAAAACCTAAAATCCTGTAACCCCAGCACTTTGGGAGGCTGAGGTGGGAAGATCGGTTGGGGCCAGGAGTTCCAGATCAGCCTGAGCAAAACAGGAAGATTTCATCTCTACAAAAAATAGAAAAATTAGCCAGGAGTGGTGGCCCATACCTATTGTCCTAGCTAGTTGGAAAGCTGAGGCAGGAGGATCGCTTGAGCCTAGTCCAGGAGTCTGAGGTTGCGGTGAGCTATGATGACACCACTGCACTCTAGCCCGGGTGACAGAGTGAGATCCTGTCTCAAAAACAAAACAAAACCAAACCAAACAAAACCACTCAAAAAACAAACCACAAAACAAAATCTAAAATCTGAGATATACAGCCCAAAAGTAAACACTTAAAAAGCAAAAACTGAAACTTCAAGTTACATAATTGCAGATTAAATAAAATTATTATATTACTTTATTCTTTCCGTTGACTACCCATCTTTTTATCCTATGATTTTTTTTTTTTTTTTTTTTTGAGACAAGAGTCTCACTGTGTTGCCCGGGCTAGAGTGCCGTGGCGTCAGCCTAGCTTACAGCAACCTCAAACTCCTGGGCTCTGCCTCAGCCTCCCGAGTAGCGGGGACTACAGACATGCGCCACCATGCCCGGCTAATTTTTTCTATATATTTTTAGTTGTCCGATTAATTTCTTCCTATTTTTAGTAGAGACGGGGTCTCGCTCTTGCTTAGGCTGGTTTCGAACTCATGAGCACAAACAATCCTCCCACCTCGGCCTCCCAGAGAGCTAGGATTACAGGCGTGAGCCACCACGCCCGGCCTATCCTATGATTTTTATTAAGACAAACAAGGCTGGGGGCAGTAGTTATGGGGGTTTTCAGTTAAAACACTTTAGATGCAAATCACATTGGGTAAAACAGATTAAATTCCCCAAATTTCAGAAACCAAGTAGACTGCACAGTTCTATTAAGTAAAATATTTTATCTTAATATGAAAGCCAAAAGAAATAAAATATTTCACATTTAGGATGTAAATAAAATAGATATGAGTACTAAAAAGAACGGCCAAAAGTTTATTTACTTGAGGTAGAAAGAAAATATCACTTACTACTTACCAGGACTGTGAGGTGCAAATCCTCCATTCTGAAATACGTCTCCTGCCACATTCATTCTACCAGGATTAAAAGGCCTTACTCCAGTCTTGGTCTGTGAAGTCAAAGATGGGGTGTATGTTTGTATATTAACACCAAAATTACTTGACTGAAGTCCTTTAGCGACATCTCCCAAGTTGGAATTCTATAGTGATGTTATATGTGTAATCGTTATGTTCGTATCTCGCCCAGCATTCACAGAGCTTATACCTGTTTCTACCGTTGTAACATTAGTAATGTGTATTTCAGAGTTGATTCTGTAGTGATAACACTATTACCCATTCCTGCATTTACCTTACTTCTTGAATGACTGGAAGTGGAGAAATCCAAATCTTTGGTTCTGTTTTTAGTTCCAGGAAGTCCCCATTCAGTAAAACTAGAAGAATTTTTCTCCTGCCCTCCATTTGTTTCTATGTCCTCTTCATCATCAATAACAATTGTCTCGCTTATATTTCCCTTCTGAGAAGCCAAATCTCTTGAAGAAGGAAGAATTACGGAATAACTTCCTTGTGGCTTTTCATTTTTTGATGACGCAAATATAAAATTTCTTTGATCAGCTATCGCAGGAGCAGAAACTGAAGGAGGCTGTATAGATTCAATAAATACAACATCATCATCATCATCTTCCACTGATGAGTTGCCAGATCTATTGACTAAAAGACTAGTTGGATCACCAAATGAATCTCCCGTGTCCATGGGACTAGCTGTCATAGCTGTTCTCCCTAATAAAGCAGGAGTCTGTTCAGTCAATTCTAATCCTCCCACTGAACATTTATCCATGCCAAAGAACCTGTAAGAGACAGAGAAAAGAAAAAAACAAGTTCTACTATATTTTGTTTTTTTGCATTTTACTGCAATGAAATGGCACAAGTAAAATTTTAAATTCTTTTCTTTATGTGATATCTGATACCCATCCCTGTTTTTCCTCTCCTGTCAACCATTTAATATTTACTTCTTCGCAGTTTGATGGAAATTAATGAAGCAATTTTTGGTAGTCCTTTAAAAAATATTCAATTTATAGTACTGTAACCTATTTACTCTTTATATTGAAAAAATACATGTCTTCCTTTGAACCAGAAAATAGTAACGATTCTATCAAGCACAAATAACCCAAGGTCCTAACCCTCATGTAGTCTATATGCTTTCATCTACTACCGCATCTGTGATCCAGTCCAATCCCTATTTCTCTAGTAACTTTTGTCATTATTTTTTCAAAATCTCTGCTTCCAATGTAACTACATGATTATCACTTTGCATCTTTTTTTTCCCTGTACAGAAAGCTTAAGTACTTTTGTGCCAGGCATTATGCTATGAGCTCAGACCTTCATGATGGTAGGTATAACTTACTCTATTTTACAATTTAGAAAATTGAGGCTTAGAGATGCTAACTAAATTGTTCTAGGTAAGTCTGTGTGGGACTTAACTCAGAGCTCTAACTATAGGGCCCTAATTCTTAACTATTCTTTTTTTTTTTTTTTTTTGAGACACAGTCTCACTGTGTTGCCCAGGCTAGAGTGCCGTGGCATCATCCTCGCTCACAGCAACCTCAAACTCCTGGGCTCAAACGATCCTCCTGCCTCAGCCTCCCGAGTAGCTGGGACTACAGGCATGCGCCACCATGCCTGGCTAATTTCTCTATATATTTTTAGTTGTCCAATTAATTTCTTTCTATTTTTAGTAGAGGCGGTGTCTTGCTCTTGCTCAGGCTGGTCTCGAACTCCTGAGCTCAAACAATCCGCCCACCTTGGCCTCCCAGAGAGCTAGGATTACAGGCGTGAGCCACCGCGCCCGACCCATTAAGCTTATTATGAGGCTGATTTTCAAAGCAAAGGGGCAATAATTCAGTCTAAATAAACTGAGTTATAAAATATAAAAGAGGTTAATAGATGAATTTCTTCAGTCCTTTCTATATCTAATAAAACCTAGAAAAGAACAATTTCTGGAGAAGAGATATAACTGACTCCACAGTATCCCCGTGGCCACTAATTCCTATTTTACTCTTTTCACAGAAAATAATAGACACGGTACTCTTCACACTTAGCTCACTGCAGTCATTTCCCTCTGAAACAAAGATTAAGTATTCATTCACTTACTTTTAAGTCCCAGATTATAAATTAAACCACTACTCAAAGCCACTGTGTTTGTAATTTAACCATCAGTTTCTCAATTCCATAAACACAAGACCACAAAGAAGTACTATTTCTACAGTACTGTCCAAAAACAGGTAAATTCCTGTTTAGCAAGTTAGCTATGTGGCACTGAACAAATTATTTCACCCCATCAAGTTTTGGTTTTCTAACTGTGAACTGCAAATGACAACAATATGTGACTTCAAGGTTTTTATGTTTGTTTGTTTTGAGACAGGGTCGATCTGTAGCCCAGGCTAGAGTGCAGCTGTGTCATTATAGCTCACTGCAACCTCAAATTCCTGGGCTCAAGTGATCCTCCTGCCTCAGCCTCCTGAGTAGAGTAGCTGGGACTATAGGTACACACAACCACGTCCAGCTAATTTTTCTATTTTTTTGTAGAGAGGGGGTCTGGCTCTTGCTCAGGGTAGTCTTGAACTCCTGAGCTCAAGCGATCCTCCTGCCTTGGCCTCCCAGAGTGCTAGGATTACAGCTGTGAGCCACTGCACAGGGCTGACTTCAAGGGTTTTAACGAGATAACTGGACGTGCAAATCCCTAGCATACTGCCTGAACCACATTAAAGAGTGCAAAAATTATTAAATCCCTTTCCAATGAGAAGGCATTTTAGGTAAATATTTTGTCTACATCCAAGAATTTTAAAAAGTGCCTAATTAAATTAATTTTAAACATTTACCTAATCTTCTTGTGGTATGTTATTCATCCACAAATTATAACTATTTAATGTTTAATTGATTTAATTTGGTACAATGAAAATTACTACTAAAAACCATACATCAATGTAAAATCTAAGGAAAATCTGCACAGAGAAGGTCAATATATTACCACTATACAAATAGGATGAAACCCAAGCAAGATGCTTAAATGCAAACTATCCCTAGGGAATGGGTAACAACCTCCTAAATTTAACAGGATATTTAATTAAGGATAAAGATAAGACTTAACACTAAAACAAAGACATAAATAAAGGTACTTTGCCCTATTGTATTTAGCTCTCTTCTGGTAGACTACTTTAAGAAACACCTCATAGTTTTTTTCCCTGAAGGTTGTTGCATTTACAACAAGTTGTATGGCATCTCTGTGGATTTACATTGTCCCAGAACAGATTTTTCTTAACATAAAGGTGTACTATGATTCTGAAGGTACTAACAAAAGTAATGAGATAGGAGAAAGAAGAATCAACTGAACTACCACCACAAATAACAACAGAATTACTGCAGGGACTAGGTACAAGATTATTGTCTAGAAATCAACAGTCTGATAGGGTTTAATATGGTAGACTGATCACACACAACTAACTTTACTCCCTTCCAAAACTCTGCTAAACAATAGTTAAGGTCCTACCCACCAGGAAAGGATGAAGAGGAGAAATAAAAGCAACAAAATTTTGTAAGCTAAGAGGAAGTGGATGAGTGATTAACTCAGCTGACCCGAGACAGCCAAACTCTAAAACAGTGATGGAAAAAGCTGAGAAACATCCTGATTTACACTGCAGAATCCTCAAAAGGCTCAGGAACCTGTAACACCAGATATTCCTGAAATAGGTGGGTAGATGGCTAAAATGAGGAGGTTGGGAGATCCTAGATCTCTTGCCTCCCATCATGTTGATGGTGACATGTTCTAGACATGTCCTTGCCCAACCTAGCACAAGTTCTATAACAGAATTTTATTCTTTGCTGAGCACAGAACATAAGATCTTTGTCTTGGGTTCACCAAACACTGGTGAATTTTTCAATACCATGCATAAGAAATGTCCCCGCTCCCACTTGATTCCCAAAGAGTTGGCATCCTATCTTCTAGGCAGCAAACCACTTTCTGGCAGACTTCTTTCTCAGAAAGATTCTTCCCTGTGGAACTAAGAATCAGCAAAAAGGAAAACTCGAAAGATTACCCTATTGTGAAGCTCCTGTTGACAGCCTCCCTCTCATTTTTTCATTTGGTTTCTAGTCCCCAAAAGCTGGGGAAATCTTAAATAAAGGAAAAAAATAAAGAGGATAAGAATATCTACCACTAACTATATATGCATATATATGTATGTGTGTCTCCCATAACTTATGGACTGGGCACTTTACCTATTTTTGTACTCTTTACAATCCTTATAACAATATGCAGAAGATAGACATTTATGAAATGCACGCAGTTCAGAGAATAAATGACTTGCCAAAATAAATGCGGGAACAAAGATTTGAATCCCAACATGATCAGCAACAAAACGAAATACTTTGTACTACAGTGTGCTGTAAATTACCCTAGGAACACCTTGCTAAGAAAAATGGTGTTCTAAGTGGTAATAACTGAGTTAGTGATGTGCTACCCTGGCAATTTTCTTAGTCCCCGTTAGTTTCCTTTCTCTATTTAGTCCATCTAGGACCACATCCACATCCCACTATCTCACCAAACTACTACCACGGAATGTGCAATATCATTGCTTCAGGTATCCTATCAAGATTACCCACTTCAAACTATCATTTCTAAAAGCTAGACACAGAATTCTACATCCTGACACTGTCCTAAGATTAACCAATTAAATAAAGAGATGTGCTGTGAAGTATGAGACAGTAAGTGCAAATAAATTAGCAGGGAGCAACAAGGGCAAAGGGAAGGCAGGAATACTACTAGAGGAGATAAACTAATCACTTTAAGTTCCGTTTCCATAACCAACGGAAAACTGATCAAGGTTAAAGGACAAGACAGGTAAGATCTCAGACTCTACAAATTCCCAGATAATGAAAGTAGAAGCAGAGCTTAAAAAAAACAAAACAAAACAAAAAAACACACATCATCTTTTTGACTCCTAATAAAATTATCCATTCAGGCAAGGATTGGTGTAAAAGCCATTAACCCAACAGCTGTCAGAAAAAAGGCATTTCTATTGTACTAAAATGAACACATAGAACACTTTCTGGTAGCAAAGGAAAAAAACATTAACTTCATAATGGAGGGAGATCAGGCAGTCACTGCTGATTTAGTGGTCATCTTAGAATCAGGAATAGTGTGACAATGAGATTATAAATCTCCTGACGTGATGCTAGCTGGAGGGCTGTCAGTGTACATAAATAACAGTCTTTCTCAAATACAAAACAAACACATTGAAAAGAACCTCTCTTCCATAAGCTTAAAACAATAAATTATTCAGTAAATTTTTAAAAATTCAACAGCAAACACCACTTTTTTTCCTATCCATTGGAAAGGAAGAAGAAAATGTAAAATGCAAAGCATTTAAAAGAGAGCTAACTTTAAATCCTGTCTTGGAACTTGAGAGAGTACCCGTGGTGTAAATAAATACCAGCACCCACTCCCAGTGCCTTCCCAAGGATTACCCTGGCTTCGCTCTAGGGACAGGGCTTTCTAAACAATTAGCTTGAAGGCCAAGGCCTGCAAGACAACACAAAGGCAAATCCCACAGGAAGAACACCCTACTATTGCACTAAGTATTTTAAACAGGAAAGCAGGGTAAAATGACTCACAATGGAGATGTTTCCCTTCTTAATTTCTGCCAAATCTTCACTAGATTGGCTTGAAGGTGATTCCTGCTCCTAGAATGAGAGATGAATGATTTCTTGACGACTAATCTGGACTCAGCACCAACTTCGCAACACGAGAGGAAGGAGGAAAACGGATGGATAAGAGGTTAAGGAGTTTCAGCGCTCTATTATCCTCCCCCGCCCAAACGTTGCTGAGAACCCAAGTTTGAAAAAAACTATAGGAACCAGAACGAGAACACAAAACTAAATCTGCTTTTTCCAATTACAGAATTGGGACGGATGGGGTGGGCTGAGGGCACCAAGCCTGCTTCCAGGAAGGGCAAACGTTGCCTCAACGCCAGCAAGGGATTTTTATTTCCTCCTAAATTGACCCACCCAGCGTCATCCGCGTCATTCTCAGAACCAATTCAGGAGTAAGGGGCGGCTCACGCAACCGAGCTGGGCCGACGTTTGCCCCACGCAGCTGCCCTGGCCCCAAGATTTGCCCGCCCTGCAGTCGATGACTGGTTCAAGGTCCGCCATTAGAAACTCTCCCAAAAAAAGTAGAGTAAAAAGCTGCGCAGCGCCGGGGAAGAGAAGAGCGAAGGTGGGTACACGGCCAGGCAGTGGCAGCAACCCGCACCCCGAAAAACTTGGGGACCTCAGCTCCGGAGGACAAGGTGGGAGCGCAGGCCCGAGAAACGACCGGGGCGCCCCACTCCCCCCCACAGAAGAGAAAGAAATACCCCGCGATCTCCCCTGGCGACTCCCGCCTCTGGGGCCCGTCTCACCCAGCCCTCCCGGCCTCGCCCGCACTCTCGCAGCCCCCGAGGCCCCGACGCAGCAGCAGTGACTACGGCCGCGCCGCGGGGTATTAATCCCGGGTCGGTGGGAGGCTCCGGAGGCTGCCCTCGCCCATCTCCGCCTCCTCCTCCAGAGGCTGCGCTGCTGCCAGCCACCCCCACTCTCGGCGGCCCTGGACAGGAAAGATAGCGGGGATAAGCCTCACCCGGGTCTGGCTGCGGCTCCGCGGAACGAACCTCCACTCCCCCGACCCACCCCCGCTTCGGCGACACGCACAACTCCGCTCGGTCCGGTGCCGGCTTTACCGCTGAGGAGGAAAACGAAGCGGCTGCGACGGCGCGGCCAGGCCCGAGGAGGCACCGCCCTCCGCGCGCTCATTGACTGAAGGGGAAGGCGGGCCGAGGTGCCTCGGGCACATCCATTGGCTGCTTCGGCCTTCTTTCAAGCCCCCCCCTTGGTAGGGTAGTCCGCGGAGCTGTCCGTCAGGGCGGGCCACACCCCCGGCCCTGCTGTTCTAGTCCGTCCTCCGCGGGTCCTGGGCTCCTGGCCGTGCTCCCCCGCCCCAACCCACCGGGTCCGCCAGGGTCAGGAGCCCGAGTTTCGGGGCCCACCGCACTGGCCTCCGCTCGGCCCCTGGAGCATAGGGCTCTCGGGCCGAGGACAGCCAGAGACACCGGGGCGGGGCCGCCTGCCCTCGCGGCACAGGCCGCTGTAGCGGCTCCCCACGACTCTGCCCGAGGAGAGGCGCGGCCTCGATGTCCCAGCGCCCTACCTGTCCGGTTCCTTGAAGCCCCCTGCGAGGGGCGAGACCAGGGAGGGGCTGGAGCGGGGCCCAGTGGGCAGTCGGGGCCGCTGGTGAAGTGGACCCTCGGGCGCTCTGAGGGCGGTGGAGGCACTTCCAGCCTCGCCGCGCCCCCGTGGGGAATAGTCCCCCCACCTCCCGTCATGGCTGCAGCAGGAGGAGACGACGTCCTCCATTTTGTTGGAACTGCTGTGGGAACTTGGGACCCATTCAAAACCAAACCCCGTGGGGCCGGGACACTTGTCCCCGAGAAGCCCCGACTGGGCTCTGCCATTCGGCCGAGGGAAAGGCCCCAGCTTCCGGCGTCTGCGTCCGCCGGGCCATGGGGGACAGGCGCGACGGTGGAGAGCCCCAGACGCCGCTCTCCGCCTCCACAACCAAGATGGAGGGAGCTGCGGGCTCCCCTGGAGCTGGGCTCCCGCCCGTTGGAGGGGCCGGGGCCTGTCCTGGGCGTCCCGCGGCGCCGCCATCCTCCTGTCCGCAGCCCCGGGCGCTTGCCCTGCCCCAGCCTCCCCCGGCCTCTCCACCGCCTGCCACCGTCTCCTGGTCCTCAACGGTTGATGGAGGCTCCACTCTACAGCCCGCTCCATCGCTTCGCCCAGCCGGGGCGGCCCCCGCGGGGAGCGGCCCCGCGCCCGGGAGCCGAGCCAGGTGCGGACGGCGCCGTGCGCCCCGAGGAGGGCGCGCCCCAGGCCGCCTCCTCGAGGGCCTCGTCTTTTGTTCCTAGTCTACACCTACGTCTTCGGCGGACGTCATGGTGCTGAACGATTTCCAAGAGTCCACGTAAAGATGAAGCGATGCCTCTTTCGTCTCGCCCTGGCGGTTGTCAGTGGGATTACAACTGATGGTGTTGGGTTTGATAGAACTTAGTGCAGGTACCATGTTGCCATATTTGGAAACACAAATAATGTGATTTATTTCAAATACACTTTCAGCCCTCTTCTATTACTTCTTCTGGAGTATGGTAAAGGCGCAGGCTTGTTAAGTGAAAATCAGACGCAAATTATCCACGACTAACGCATATTCGTGGATTGAGGAGTGAGATGCTCTGTGAGCCTTTTTGCATATTACACAGTATTGTATTTCATGGACAATTCTAATATCGCCAACATTATTTTAAGTCCTCAATTACTGGTTGAAAATAAATGAATTAAGCGTAATGGCAACATTTTGATGACTGCTATAAATTACAAGCATCCCTTTTCTAGTCAGCATGTGTAAGTGCAAAGCCAGTGGTACGTTGAGCTTATAGAGAAAGGCTCCATCGAGAAAGTTTACAGTAAGATCTCACAAACTACATGTTAAACTCAGTAGCCACATGTCGTATATTTTCAGAATCCTTATCTTTCTCACAATTCTTTGGCATTGGTACTGTTCAAAGATCAAAAATTGGTAACATTTGTTTTTCCTGAGAATGGCAAGAGTACCAGGTTCATGTGCCGAGGAAAACTCACTTCAATATGCTGCCATGATTTCAAGAGGTGTTGAAAATTTAGGACAAAAAAGTCTTCATTGTTGATATATGCTTAAATAAATTAATGTCACATAAAATTAATTTTCCAAATAATTTTCTTTATTAAAAGTAGACACAGTGGTTCCTGTAATGACAAGAGCAAACTATAGAGGCTAACATGATGTAGCTGAATTACATTGCGCTTTCTAGGGTAGAAGACTTGCGTCTAGATTCTTGTTTCCTCTGCTGCTAATTGTCAACCGTGGTAGTCTCTTACACTCTCTCAGCCTCACTTGCTATTTTGTAATAGAATAATACAGGATTCTGTAAGATCCAAATTAAAAATTTGTGACACTTTTAAACAGCAACGACAATATTATTTATTATTTATCTTTTGGTAATTAAGGAAGCCTGGCTAATGTAAAAGCAGAGTAGTATTAGACCAAGAGGACACAACTGCTGGAGCCAGATAGCCTGCCTGTGAATCATAACTTGTCACCAGCTAGCTGTGTCATCATAGAGAAGTTAAACTCTCAGTCTCAGTTATCTTTAAAATGTCGTAACCAAAATACCTATGGAGATTTTTGAAGATTAAATGAATTATCACATGTATGACACTTAGAACTGCACCTGGTACATTTAGTAGAAGCATGATAAATTTCAGCAGCTGTGTAATCCAACACAGTAGCTACTCGCCATATATGACTGTTTCAATTTAAATTAATCAAAATTACATGAAATTTAAAAATAAGTTCCTCAGTCACACTAACCATATTTCAAGTGCTTAGGAGCCACATGTGGCTAGTGGTTACTGTACTGGACAGCACAGATACAGAATATTTCCACCATTGCAGGAAGCTCTATAGGAAATCACTGCATTCATCTTCTAACACAGAAATAATGAAAACAAAGGGATGAAAAATATATAAAAATGTGAAATATAAAAAATGTATATAAATATATATGATACTGTGGCATACCTAGTATATTTGACATGCTGAGTGGATTATTTTTAGCACCTCTTCATATAACAAAATTATTTTTTCTAATGATCATGAAGTAAAACAAATATGTTTCCTATGTGAACAAAAACATACCTTGCAGCTTGCATTGTGTTTCATGGTTTGAAATTCTAAACAGACAAAAACTCCAAGTGGTCACATACAATAACAGAATTAGGTTCTACTTGTTCAATTTTACAATAACTATGCTGTCATCATCATTTCTTTTTTTTTTTTTTTTTTTTTGAGACAGAGTCTCACTCTGTTACCTGGGCTAGAGTTCCGTGTTATCAGCCTAGCTCACAGCAACCTCAAACTCCTGGGCTCAAGCGATCCTTCTTCCTCAGCCTCCCGAGTAGCTGAGACTACAGGCATGCGCCACCAGGCCCAGCTTATTTTTTCTATATATTTTTAGTTGTCCAGCTAATTTCGTTCTATTTTTTTTAGTAGAGACGAGGTCTCGCTCTTGCTCAGGCTGGTCTCAAACTCCTGAGCGCAAATGATCCTCCCGCCTCGGCCTCCCAGAGTGCTAAGATTACAGGCATGAGCCGCTGCGCCCGGTCCTATTTCTGTCATTTAAATGAAGGAATATGTAGCACCATGATGGTGAAGCCCTAAACTTTACATGAAGTGAGCTGTAGTGATTTAGAAAAAATCACTTTAAATCACAAATTATTGTTGTAATCTTACTCTGAAAATGAAATTGTATAACAGTTTATGTATATTGATGGCCAATAGAATTATAGGGAGTTTCCCAAATAAACTTCTATAAAAAATATGCTTATTTGATGATAAGCAATCAAACATGTTAATTTGGAGCTTACAAGATTATTGCTAAAACCTAATTGTACCTGCAGTATTTATTTAGAATGTAGACCAACAAAAGATATTTTTTGGGAGGAGAAGCATTTTATCACTGACATTGTTTATAATTGCCTGCACATAGCGATAATAAAAAGCAGACTAAACTCTTAGTAGATAGATTTTATCATTATCTTTAAATTCCCTACAGACAACGCAGCTCCTAATTAACAACTCCCACATCATCACCCTTGGCATGTATATATTTATGTACATATGTGTGTCTATGTAAATGCCCATATACATAGATTTATATATGTTACTGTATATACTTATATGTAAACAAAGGACTGTGAAGGGCATATTATAATCAACCAAGCGAGAAGATATAACTGTCATAACATATGTATTTACCTGGAACATACTACTTGTAGTGGGTTGAAGGGTGCCTTACCCAAAGTATAGTCCACCCAGAACCTGTGAAAATTTGGGAAAAGGGTCTTTGTAGATACAATTACGGACCTTGAGATGAGTTCATCTTGGATCAGTTTGGGCCCAAAATCCCCTGACGGGCGGTCCTTATCAGAAACACACAATGGAGAAGGGCACGTGAAGACGGAAGCAGAAATTGGAGTTACTCTGCCACAAGCCAAGGAATGCTTGGAGACACCAGAAGCTGGAAGAGGCAAGAAATTATTCTGCCCTTGAGCCTTTGGAGCCCGGCCCTGCTGACACTTTGACTTGAGGCTTCTGGCTCCCAGGGCTGTGAGAAATAAGTTTCAGTTGTTTTAAACCCCCAAGTGGCTTAAATTTGTACTGCAATATAACCACAAAGCAAAACAAAGAAATGAGGTTAGAAGTAAGTAAATCTGCCAATAGTTTTATTTGAAGATTTTAACATACCCTCTCAGAAATTGATAGATCAAGCAGATTAAAAATAAGATGAGATACAAAAGATCTGAACAACATAATTGAGTTATTAGATACATAGAGAATCATACATACAGTTAAATAGAAAATATATTTTCTGCATAAAAATATGTACAAAAATAGATCAGGTTTGGTCATAAACTAATCCTTAATGAATTCAAAAATATCATACCTTATTCTCTAATCATAATCCAAGAAAATTAAGATTAATAACAAAAGGGCAGATTGATAAACCCCCTGATGTTTGAAAACTACATAAATGATTACTAAATAACTGTTGGGGTAAAGGAGATTAGGAAATACTTAAGAATGAAATGGCAGTAAGAA